GTGAACGAGAAACAAACTTTACTGTGTTATATTGCTAAACTTGTGAGATTGTTGTTGCAAAATCACTAGCCTATCCTGACAGTTGCAAGGGCTAAATTTGTATATTTCTTCAGCCAGTGTCTGAGACTGAATAACAGAATCAATTAACATTTATATTCCATTAATATGCCTTTGGATTTCATTTGGATTCATTTAGCAAGCTTTTATGAAAGCCTACTAATTTCAAGATGACTGTAGTAGCCACTGTGGACGGGGCAATTCAAAAATATGTTTTTAGTTACTCTTATGATGGTCTTATAAGGCCATATTGAAACTGTTTGTAAATCTGTTAGAACTGTAATTTTCTTGGAGTATTTTAAAACATTTTTAGTTTATCTTTTAGAGACAGGATCTCACTATATTGCCCAGGCTGGTCTCAAACTCCTGGGCTCAACCAATCTGCCCGCTTCAACTTCCCCAGTAGCTGGGATTATAGGAGCATGCCACCACCGCACCGCTTCTTAGAGTATTTTCGTGTTGCAGTTCTCAAGTTTTACACCAAGCGGTGCCAAATACTAAGTAGTAACTGTGGGAGCTGCTGTTGATGATCAGGCATATCCAGAGAGTTTACTTCAGAGTGTGACTAGCTCAAACTTAGCAACATTGCTTTCCTGTTGTTGCCAATAGGCATAAAAAACCCTCAAAGGCATAATTATCTGTAATGATTGCTAATCCCAGTGAAAAAACAATCTCATCACCAGGGCAAAGGTGAGGTATATGTATTTTACTTATTTTAATTTTTTTGTAAAGACAGGATCTCAGTATGTTGCCCAGGCTGGTCTCAAAATCTTGGCCTCAAGCAATACTCCCGCCTCACCCTCCCAAAGTACTGGAATTACAGGCATAAACCACCATGCCCAGTCTGCCTTGTTTATGTATAATCAAAGCTTAGCGCAGTACTGATACAGAGTAATCACCTAATAAATATGTATTGTGTGAATGAAGGACAAGAGGAAAGAATTCATGAAATTCATGTCTGCCTTAATATGTTATAAATATTCATACAATGTTTAGTTCAAAGTATGTTTAATGACAAAAGGCTTACTTGGCAGGCATTTCTTCTCATTATTAATTCCTCCCAAAATTTAAGTTTTGAAATTTGAAATCTTTATTTTGAAATCAGAAAATTGATGTGGAATTTTAAGGAGAAAGGTAGCATCAAAGCAAACTTTGCTTGGTTACCCATAAAACTATAAGGTTTTCAGGTATTTTCAAGCCTTTAAGAAAAGAAAAAAGATTTAAGGAGGAACAGCATAATGAATTAAGGTCTTGGTTTTTTTGCTCTTCACAAATGTAAAATGTCTTTTTAAAAGAATTTTTAAATGAATTATGTATAATTGATTTAAACAATGATGAAGTTTGATATATTCAAAAGGTGGTTTGCACAATAATCTCCCTAAATGAATTTTTCCTTTTTTTTTTTTGGAGACAGAATCTCACTCTGTCACCTGGGCTAGAGTGCTGTGGCATCAGCCTAGCTCACAGCAACCTCAAATTCCTGCTTTAGGCTTGAGCAATGCTCCTGCTTCAGCCTCCCTAGTAACTGGGACTACAGGCATGCACCACCATGCCCGGCTAATTTTTCTATTTTTAGTAGAGACAGGGTCTCACTCTTGCTGAGGCTGGTCTGGAACTCCTGACTTCAAGCCATCCTCCTGCCTTGGCTTCCCAGGGTGCTAGGATTACATGTATGAGCTACCTCACCTAGCCAGATTTTTTCCATTTTTAATCTGCATGCCTTGTGGATATTTTTATGACTATTCTAACATTTTCCAAACATACAGAGAAATAGAATGATAAAGGAATGAACACCCCATGCTCATCATCCAGTTTTTGCTTTTTTTTTTTGAGACAGTATCTTGCTCTGTCACCCAGGTGAGAGTGCAGTGGTGTCATAGCTCACTGTAACCTCAAACTCCTGGGCTCAAGCAATCCTTCTGCCTCAGCCTCCCAAGTAGCTGGGACTACAGGCATGCACCACCATGCCTGGCTAATTTTCCTATTTTTGGTAGAGACGGGGTCTCACTCATGCTCAGGCTTCAGACAAAGAAGTAGTAGAAGGAAAAAAGGAACCAGGATGTGTTCGGGCTCCAACAAAAGAATCCTCTGAAGAGGAATATGAATTAGGTGTTGAAGAAGAAGGATGGCCTTGTCAGGCAGATGCTGCAAACAGCTAAACTGTCAGATTCCTGTCCTGTATATAAAGCTTTTATTCCTTTTGTTTAGGATCATAACTGTCTCTATAGTCTGATATTAAAGGCATTGGATCTATCTTGGCTATCATACATGGTCAGAGAAGCCTTAGGATAGAATCAGTCATGTAATTATGTAACTCACATTGATTTATACAGAAGACATTGTGTGAACTTTAATGATGCAATGTTTAGAGATAAATGTATTGGTTCAATTTTTTAAAAATATGCTTTAACAAAATTCTTAGGAATTTTTTTTTTTTTTTTTTTTTTTTTTTTTTATTTATCCCGCGCCCCCTGGAATTCTTTTAAGCAATGCAGGTATTGCAATAACTGTGGATTTTACAGTAATGTTACTCTACAAATAGGAAAATAAATTCTTTAAAATTAAAAAAAATTTGCATTTTTTACTTTCAAAATTTTTTTTACCTGTGCTATAAAAGTTTCAAATGTTTTAAATTGTGTTAAAACAGAAATCCAATGATTCACATTTTAAAGAATCTTATATCTCTGAGTCTTTGCCATTTTACAAAAAGCAGACTAATCTTCAAAATAGAATAACTAGCCTTATGGGGACAAAAGGACTCTGTTTTTATGAATTTATTTGGTGCCATAATAAAAGCATATTTTCATTTTCCAAGAAGAAATAAAACATTGTTGAGTGTAGCATAGGTAATTTGGTCATATTTTTCTAGCTTATCACTATTAAGACTTGTTACTTCTTTGGCTGCTTAATTTTTTCCCCTGTAAGGACCTGAGGGAATTAAAGTTTAAACCAAGATCAAGAGTTCCCTATTCAACATACATCTCACCTTTTACTTTGAGAACTAAATCCTAATTTGACTGAGGACTGCAATGTATCAAATTTTAAAACTGTGTTTTCCAGTTCTAATTACAGGTAGGTGTGATATTAAGTGCAGGTCTGGCCAGTGAAATATAGGCAAAGGTACTTACTTGTGAGGGGCTACCAGAAAGCTCCTTTCTAAAAATGGAGACAAAACAGTTTATAGACAAAGAAATAGAGATGGCTCTTAAATATTTTTTTTAAATGGTTGGGTTAATTCATAATAATATATATATAAATTAAAACTACCCTGAGCTATCCTTTCTCACTGTCACATTGGCATAGATCCAAAAAATTGACAACAAATTCTTTTAGAGAGATTACAGGGAAATAGGCAATTTCGTAAATGCAAAAATGATACCAACTCTTGGGTGGAAGATTTGGACAATACCAGCAAAATTTCAGATAAATTTTCCATTTGATTGATAAATCCCACATTTAGAAATTTATCCTTAGAACACACCACCACTAATGTGAAATCACATATGCACAAGGTATGTTTGTGTATATGTGTGATTGTGTTTTCAAGCAAAAATTACAACACTATCTAATGTGGTGCTCATTATATGAAGAGGAAATGCATACGATGATTGCATTTTTAAAATTGAGAGGGTAAAGGGACATAAATGAAATCAGGATCTACATTTCACTCAAGATAGTAAAACATTCTTACCAATAGGCTATGGTAAATTGCATATTTATAATATATTGTAATACCTATAGCAAACACTAAAAAAACTACACAAAATTAGATACTAAAAACACTACAAATAGACCAGATGCAGTGGTTCACACCTGTAATCCCAGCACTTTGGGAGGCTGAGGAAGGAGGATCACTTAAACCCAGGAGCTTGAGACCAGCCTGGGCAACATAGTGAGACCCCATCTCTGCATAAACTCACTCTATTTCCCAGGCTGGAGTGCAGTGGCTTGATCATAGCTCACCATAACCTTGAATTCTGGGGCTCAAACAGTCTTCCTGCCTCAACCTCCAGAGACTATAGCTAAGACTATAGGTGTACACTACCATTCCTGGCTGATTTTTTTCTTTTTTTGTAGAGGTAGGGTCTCACTATGTTGCCCAGGCTGGTCTTGAACTTCTGGCCTCAAGTGATCCTCCTGCCTTGGCCTCCCAAAGTGCTGGGATTGCAGGTATGGGCCACCATGCTCAGCCAGATTCATTATTATTCACTATAAAAAAAGTATTTACAAATCTATGAAAATAGGCATCTTAAATTTCTGTGTGTGTGTGTGTGTGTGTGAGAGAGAGAGAGAGAGAGAGAGAGAGGAGTAATGATAATTCCTATCTCACAGGATTATTCATGTTAGAAAATATCAACATTATCTATAGAATGCATATTATATACCTGTGTTTGGGTAACTCACTGAGGAATACAAAGTTGAATAAAACAAAACACCTACCCACCCTAATAGTCTTCTGGGTTAGACAAATGATGTTAGCTAGGTTGTGTGGTACCGCGTAGGGAGGGCTTCTTGAAGGACTGGTAGGAATCAGCCAAGTGACAAAGAGCAGGAAGGTTGCTGGCCAGAGGGAATGCATGAACAAAAGCAATGAGAAACAAACATGGCCTGTTATTTCTGGAAGAAAGGGTTAAATTTGAAGTTTGAGTGTGTTTATAGACTGGGACCAAGGGACCAAAATGAGCAGGGACCAAGTCTGGGAGGGTTTTGGATATCTTACTAAGAATCTTAGACTTTATCCTATAGCCAGTAGGAAGCCATTTATAAGTGGAATAGCCATTGGATTTGCATTTTAATGGTGGTTTCTACCAACAACTGTAGAATAAGTGTTGTTTCCTAGGAAATAGAATAATTTAGAAACTATTGCATTGTTCTAGGTGACAGATGATAAAGACTTTGAGATAGGGCAATAGTATTCAAGAAATATTTAGGAGGTAAAAGAGTCAGAACTTGGTAACAATAGAATGTTTGGAGGTCAGGAGGAGGGAGCAGCCTACAGTGAATTCCCTGGCTTGTATGGCTGATTAAGTCACAGTTTAACTGGCATAGGGAATCCAGGAGGGGGAGCAAGTTGGCTGGGGGAAAAGGGTAAGCTAAGAGTTGGTCTTGTTGAATTTGATAGAGTTGGGGTTTGTAGGCAGGTCTAACATTTTGTGGAAAAACCAGATCTCGGGATAGACATACATCATGAAGATTCAATCTCCTAGTTTATATGCATAGCACAGATGTCAGATTTATTCATTTATGATTCCTGTTCCAGTGTATTTTGTGCTATTAACACTGTCAGGTACCTGCTGTAGGTGATAGAAATCAAGTATGAATAATCTTAGGCAATAGAATATTGGTTCACATACAAGTGGGGAAGAAAGGACAGAGAGAATATAACTTGTGGCAATATTAGAGGGAGAGAGGTCAAGAATATTTTAGAAGCTGGAAAGTAGATACCCAAGAATCAGCAGACTACAGAAAGCTGAGTTCTGTGAAAGTTCACTAGCCAGCAATCACCAGAACACACCTGGAGTTAAACAAAGTTATGTTTATTTAGTTTGCTGCATCAAGGGAGAACATGCCTCAGAGAAACCCTGAATGCGTCTTAGTAAGGGGGAGTAGGGAGGGGCTCCTTACAGGGTTGTGTTTGTGCTATGTGACTCTGAGCAGAGATTAGAGATTCAGGCTGCCATCTCTGAAAGAGATATGGTCAAGAAGTAGGGGAATTTCAGCAACTGGATAGCTCAGAAATTTTTTTTTCAGGAGGCTGAGGAACAAAACCAGTCTGTGGATGTCATTTGTAACAAAGCAGCAATCACTTAGGAGAAAAGATTTAGTCATTTTTGCAACTGTGGTGTGGTATGGTATGGAAACATTGTTTACATGGCCTTGCCCATGTCCCTTGGAAACATTGTTTACATTCTGTTAGTTGTATCACAGGGTGATTACCAGCAGGGCTGATTTTCATTTTCTTAAATCTAACTGCCTGTCAGATGGTGACTCCAAGAAGCAAACTGATTTTCACAGCAGAATTCTGGAAAAGCTCAAATTAAACGCAACAGGCATGGGTGGGTATGAGTGGTATTGAAAACCTGAGAAAGTCTGTACAAGAAAGTAGCTAGGCCTCTAGAAATCTCTTTCTACATAGCCAGTGAAGATTTGCTCCCTAGAGAGCAAATCTAGGGAATTAGAGGTTGAATCAGAAAGACTCTGGACTTGGGAATATGTGAAATGGCAAATGAAGGGTGGGGGAGGAGTAGTACTAAGCATGGGAACTGAGGGAAAGTTTGCATATTCATAGTTAAACTTTAGTCTTCTTCCCAGACTCAGCTGTCAGAGGACTGGCTTTCAGACTTAGAGTTAGGATAATTCCCTTGGGAAACCAGTTAATCTAAGGAAAAAAACCTTTTAGGGATGGGCTATAGAGAAACACATGGGCCCTCAGGGAAACATCTGGGTCCCAGCCTGATCACCCTACAAAGCCCACCGCTGTGCTCCCAATCAGCTTTGTAGTGCCTTAGTCTTAAATATGGACCGCATTCAAGGACCATGTGACATCTGGGGAAAGCATTTAACAGAAAAAAGAGAGTATAACAAATGCTTTTTTTAAAAGTTGGAAGAAAAGACAATCCAGGAAGTGGAAGAAGATATTGAATCTACAAAATAAGAAAAAGATACTCTAGAAAAGGAACATTTGGAGGTCAAGAAAAAGTTTTTGACTATTAAAAATGTGTTAGTTAAACTGAAATTTAAATTAATAAAAGCTCTGGAAGATAAAGTTGAAGACATCTCCTTCAAAGTAGAAAGAAAGAAACCTGAATAAAGAAATATAATGTAAGGGAGTAGGATCATTTGAGCAGGTTCAATACTCAAATGAAGGAGTTCCAAAAAGATAGAAAATAGAAAAAAGAAATAATTGGGAAAAAATATAAGACACTTTCTCAGAACAGAAGTGCATGAATCTCCAGATTGAAGGGTCCACTAAGTGCCCAGTGAAATGAATGAAAAAAATAAAATCTGCACCAAGACAAAGCATGGTGAGATTTTAGAATGTCAGGATTAAAGAGAAGATTTTAAAACTTGAGGGATGGGGAGGGGAGAAATCACATACCAAGGATAGAAAAAGTGGACCATCCATTGGGTGTTGAGTCAGAAAAAAAGAAGAAAAAAGAAAGAAAGAAAAAAGATAAAGTGGACCACAATGAAGCAACACCTTCAAATTTCCATGGGAAAATGAAATTCAATCTAGAATTCTATAGCCACCATATTATGGGTAAAATAAAGGCAACCAAGGCTTTAAACCCCTTACTCTAATTATGTTCTTTTTCAGGAAACTCTAGAGAATGTACCCCACTGAAACAAGGGTGTGAATCAAGAAAGGAATATGAGAGCCCCAGTAAACAAGAAACACAACACAAGAGAAAGGTGAGAATTCCCAAGATAATGACAATTCCCAGAACACAGTAATATATGGTAGGCCTAGAATACAGACAGTCCAGATTAGAGAGGGATGGTGGAGAGCTCCAGACATGTTTAAATTTAAAAACAAAATAGAGTACCTGAGCAGACGTGGTGGCTCATGCCTGTAATCCTAGCACTCTGGGAGGCTGAGAGGCTGAGGCAGGCAGATCGTTTGAGCTCAGGAGTTTGAGACCAGCCTGAGCAAGAGTGAGACCCTGTCTCTAATAAAAAAAATAGAAAGAAATTAGCTGGACAACTAAAAGTATATATAAAAAATTAACCAGGCATGGTGGCACATGCCTGTAGTCCCAGCCACTTGGGAGGCTGAGGCAGGAGGATAGCTTGAGCCCAGGAGTTTGAGGTTGCTGTGAGCTAGGCTGACGCCATGGCATTGTAGGCCAGGCAACAGAGTGAGACTCTGTCTCAAAAAAACAAAAAACCAAAAACCCCCAAAACCAATTTTGTGTCTGTGTAGAGTTCTATGTAATTTTAACATATGTATAGACTCATGTAACCAACACCACAATCAAGATACAGAGATATTGTATTAATATCATCACAAAGATTCCTATGTTAGCCTTTTATAGTCACACCCATCCCCCTTCCCTCTTCCATCCAATCTGCAAGCTCTGGCAACCATTAATCTGTTCTCTATAATTTTGTCATTTCAACAATGTCATATAAATGGAATTGTGCATATGTATCGTCTTGAGATTGGCTTAAAAAAAAAAACAGCATAATACCCTTGAGATCCATCCAAATTGTTGCATGTTTCAATAGTTTGTTCCTTTTAATTGTTGAGTGGTATTTCATGGTATGGATGTACCACAGTTTAACTATTCATACATTGTAGGATATTTGGTTGTTTCTAGTTTGGGGCTATTACAAAGTAAGCTACTATGAATAATTATGTACCAAAATTGTATAACAAACAAAGAAACAAAAAGCCCTGGCTTCAGACTATCAGAATCTCAGAGGTAAAGCCCAGGCATCAACATTTTAAAAATTCTTCCCAGATAATTATGTGCATCAAGGATTTCTAAAACTCAACTTGATTTTAGAAATCTAAAAAAATCATTTATTAATAACAGTTATCATTATTATGTACCTACAATATGCTTGGCATTGTACTCATTTAAAGCCCTAAAAAATCCTAGAAGGTATATTATTATTCTCCTTTTGCTTGTCAGAAGACTGAGCCTTAATTCTCTCAACTTAGATAAATGGACATTCTCACATGTAAAGAAAGAAGTAAATTTTCTTTTAGCCTCTTTTGGTTACAGGAGAATCTAGCTTACAGCTTTTTTCTAAACTATTTTGCATGTGGAGAAAGATTTATATTTCTTCTACTTAGAATCTTTTGAGCAAGGAGGACTGTTAATTCCTTGTATCTGTTATTATTATTATTATTTTCCAAAACAATGGTCCTGGTTCTTGAACTTAGGATGCTTTTTACCTGAGACCATTACCTATTGGTACAGTAAACCTAAAACCATGAAACACATATTTTTGTGCTAAATGTTGCACTATTTTTTTTTTTTTAGTATCCAGCACAAATAATGGTTAGCTTCAAAAATTAAAGAAAAAATGTATGAGAAAAGAGGTATTATAGCTGAAAAAACTTTCTTTGCCTAATAAATTACAAAAAGATAACAATTGCTCTATGTCTTTGAAAAATAGTCACATGTCAGTGAAAAGAGCATATCTGTTCCTCTGTAGATCAAACATTTAACATGAGGAGGGCACAGAATTCTTTTTCAATTTCTTATAAAAAGGATAGTGTCCCCAATGAAAGTGTCAGAATACGTCAACCCAAGATATGCCACTTTGGCATAAGGATTATTTTGAGCTAAAGGTACTTACAAGATAGTAGGTACAAGGAGAATTTTCTGACCTCTTCTTTGCTTCCCGAAAGTAGAAGATAAAACTCCCATGTGAAAGATGTTCTCTCTATACCAGAAGGAAAGAAACACTCTTATCACCAGAGACAGGGAGTTGAGGCCTAGAGAATTCTGTACAAACCTTGTTAAAATAACTCTTATCTTCCTTTAGCTTCCCCATATATTTTAGTTACTTTTCCACAATTGCCTCTTTTTGTTCAACCTAATATAAAACATTTAGGTTTAGCCACTTGTTTGGGTCTTCTTTTCTTATGAAGAATCCTGTGTCATGTAAAACTTATATTAAATAAATTTGTGTGCTTTTCTCCTATTAATCTGTCTTATGTCAATTTAATTCTCAGGCCCAACTGAAAACTCTAAGAGGGTAGAGGTAAAGTTTTGCCTCTGCTATACCAAAAATGGGAAAATACTGTACAATTATTATAAATTATGTTTGCAAATTCTGTGATCTTATATGTGTTTGTTCAAAAATTGCAATATTGTAGTTTTATATAAAATTCATTCTATATGCATTTTAGAAATCATTGTAGGGAAAGACAGAAAAGAATAAGTACTATATAGCAATAAATAAATGTACTTCTTTTATAATTATTGGCATTATAAAATTACATTTTATTGGCTATTTATTTATTTGAGAGAGGATCTCACTCTGTTACCCAGGCTGGAGTGCAGTGGCACGATCATAACTCACTATTAGCCATCCTCCTGCCTCAGCCTCCTGAGTAGCTGGGATTATAGGCATGAGCCATCACACTTGGCTAATTTTTCAATTTTTCAATTTTTTTTTTCTTTTGCAGAGATGTCTTACTCTTCTTGCTCAGGCTGGTTTTGAACTCCTGGCCTCAAGCGATCCTCCCTCCTTGGCCTCCCAAAGTTCTAGGATTACAGGCATGAGCCACCACACCCAGCTTCACTGTGGTCTTAATACACATTTTCCTGTCTGATGGTATTGAGCAACTTCTTATGTGCTTATTTGCCATTTGTATTTCTTCTTTGGTGAAGCACCTATTAAAATCTTTGGCCAATTATTTTCTCAATTGAATTGTTTATCTTCTTATTACATTGTAAGAGTTGAAAAAGTTTTTGTTATATTCTGGATAGAAGTGCTTTTTTTTTTTTTTTTTCTTGAGACAGAGTCTCACTTTGTTGTCCAGGCTAGAGTGAGTGATGTGGCATCAGCCTAGCTCACAGCAACCTCAAACTCCTGGGCTCAAGCGATCCTTCTGCCTCAGCCTCCCAAGTGGCTGGGACTACAGGCATGTGCCACCATGCCTGGTTAATTTTTTATATATACTTTTAGTTGTCCAGCTAATTTCTTTCTATTTTTTTTATTAGAGACAGGGTCTCACTCTTGCTCAGGCTGGTCTCAAACTAGCAATCCGCCCGCCTAGGCCTCCCAGAGTGCTAGGATTACAGGAGTGAGCCGCCATGCTTGGCCTGGATAGGAGTCCTTGAACAGATGTATCAGTGGGTTTTCAAACAAAGAATCAGAACCACTAAGCAGGTAGAAATATATTCTGAAGATACACATGCAAATTTTTAAAATCAGGGATTTGGCCTTATATATAGCTGGGGTCTGATTGTGCCCCATTTACGAGATAATAAGTTAGTTTATTAGTGTTTCTGGCAGAAGACATGTGAGTCTTGGGTCGGAAAAAAAAGGGATTTAATATGCATGGCACAAGCCACATAAGTATCAGCATTTTGGGCTCAGCCCCCATTCCCCCTCAAGTCCCATGGGGTGACATGGATGACACTGATGGTGCTTACACATGCAGTGGTCTTACAGGAAAAAAAATGAGCCTAGGGAACTCACTACTCTGTAGCAGCCTGTAAACAGTCTGCTCTTCTTCCCGGAAAGAGACATTACTTCATCCTACAGGGTTACTCACTGGAACCATCACCCTGAGAAATGGCCTGGGTAAAGAGCACTGAGAGACGTGTACTTCGTATTCTCAGCAAGAATGTGCAAGGAAGCACAGGGCCTATGGTCAGGCCTCTCCAACAATCCAGCTGTGGTCTCTAAGGCCCCTTGGGCATCAGGAGAAGTCTGTGAATTTGTATCAGCGAGACTGAAACAATGTTGTGCTGGTCCCTGTGTTTGTACACAAATGGGGGCTAGAGGCACATTCAAGAGCTGTCACTGAAAGCCTCAGGCATAGGAGACTAGTTCAGCATCAGACATATTCATAGGAATTTTTGTGTTTTCATAGTGCATGGACACGGGTGACAAACTCAGTGGTATATCATATCTGCTGCTTAATACGGGTGGATCATATGATTGTCTTGCTGGGCTGTTGTGGTGGGTATATCAGACAGAAAGAACATAAATTGTTCTCCCCCTCCCTAGGGAAGACCTAGGGTCTAAGGTTTTCGCTTCCCTGGTGCCAGAGTTATTACTCTTCTTCCATGGCCACAAAACGGATGTGTCCCATTCCATTAGCTATAACTTCATCTTTTTTTCCTATGAATCTCCTATTCATACCCAGAGGGGTCAGGTGTGAGAGGTACAAGGGTATTGTTATAAAATTTACAAAGATCCACTATATTTTCCAACTTGGCTCACATGGGACATTATATTAATACAAGAACTTCGCAATCAGTGAACCAAGTGGTCATTATCTATAGAATCCAGGACCATGTCACTCCAACAAGATTGAATTCAACAAGAGAATCAAACAAGTTTGAATCCTTAGGCCTCCTTTTTGCATGGCTGCTACCCAGAGGATGTACCAATCACAAAAGTCTGGGCACCAGTTGGGAAATAAAAGAATCATCGTGTCCAGAAATGGTAAGGGTAAAATCACACATTTTCAACATAGGCCTATATAGCCCTCTCTCCCTTTCTTCCTAATCATTGCACAGCACATTGAGACTGAAAGAAAAGGATCTCTCTATGGGGATAGCCACATGCATTGCTCAAACTACTTTAAGCAAGTGTGTGAACCAGAAGGAAGTGAGGGAGATAGACTAAGAAGTCTTTTTGAGTTGGTTTTTAGAGGATGCTCTTTTGGTGCTGTATGACACCTAATGCCAGCACATGGTGGGGAGCATAGACTCTCCTCTGAATAACTTGATTATTGGCCCATCATCAGATGGCCTTTGAGAGGGAAAAGGACAGAGGATATGATGGCTTTAGCCTATGCCTGTGAAGTTCAAGTCTTCCTAGTCTTCTCTTCCTGACTGCCTGCCCTTAGCCCCCATAATTGCATAAACCAATTGCTTGTAATAAATCACATACACACACACACACACACACTGGAAAGAATTACTGGGAGGAACAATTTTGGGAATGAGAATCAGGCATTCTCTTTTGGACAAATTCAGTAGATGGTACAGACTTCCAAATGGAGAGGTCAAGTGGGCACTTGGATGGCTAAGAAGCATGAGGGCTAGAGACATAAATTTAGGACCTATGATTATAGAGATGCTTATTTAAATCATGAATCTTATGAAATTGGATGGGATCACCAAGGGAGAAAGTGTATACAGAGAAAATGAGGGGGACTGCAACTGAGCTCAGGGTGGTTCAACATTTAGAGCTCCAACAGAGTAGGGGAAACCAGAAAAGAAGATGGAAAAGGCATGGTCCCTGAGGTAAGAGAGAACAAGAGAGTGTCATGTTGTGGAAGCCCCAGGAAGACAGTGTTTCAAGAAGCTAGAGGTCATTCAACAGCCTTGTATAAGACAAAAAAAAAAAAAAGATTGAGGCCAAATGATGCTAGTGCTGATATACTGTATAATGAGGTGAACACTGGATTTGATAATCACTATAATTCAGAGCATTTTTACAAAATACATTTTGGAGCACTTATACAAAATCTGGAATCTCAGAGTGTTTCTCTTACATGATATAGTGGGAAGTAGTTATGATCACTATTGTCATTCTTTTATTAATGAGGAACCTAAGCTCACATAAATTTCAGGGAATTGCTCAAGGTTAAACTAGTTAGTTATGGCAGACCTGGGTTAGAACCAGATGTTTTCATTCTAGCTCAATTCTCTGATTCTAAACCCTGGTTGGCATAAGAATCACCTGTGGGTGGGGTTGTCTAAAAGTACAGACACCCAAACCCACCCCAAATAGTCTAGTCAAGGAACTCTGGGATAAGGGCCAGGGCATGAGCATCCAAAAGGAAATACATACAACTAAACAAATAGTTCTAATGAGAGACCAGAGTTGAGTTAGTTTATAATGTGTTCTGAGCAACCTTTAAACTGGACTTCTTAGGATTAAAGTCTAAGCAAGGTTTGGTTAAAGTAGTTCACAAAGGTCAGCTGGAATTTCTTTGAGTTTCCCAGGGTGGAAATACTAATTAACTCAATATGTTAACACCTCAGTTCAATCTGCTAAGTTGTTTTCTTATAATTAGTCCCCTGCTTCTGAACGGAGAAAGCATTTCCCCAAAGACATTTCTTTTCTTGGTGTTTGAACTTCCAAATTAAACTTAGTTGTCTCATCAGGTGAATTTCCATGACCAAGTCCCCCAAGTTGAAAACCACTTAGAGTGATGAGAAATGCAACAGATGAGAATGTGTGGTGGAGACAGTCATCTGTACGTTTGTGACAGAAGGATGGTGTCTAAAACATAGGCACTTCTACCTGCTGCAAAAGAGAAAATTGTGCTTCATAGGTAATTTAAAGCAAGGGTTCAACTTACTAAATTGTGAAGTACTTTTTCTAAAATTTAACAGCTTATTATGCTCATCAGTTCAGGGCACTGATATGACAGGCATTTCCATTCTTTCTGTGAGAAGTTTATTCAATCCTACTGTACTTCTTTTTCCTGGGAATATATTTAGTCCAGACCAGAGCAAACCCGGGACTAATCCTGCTCAGATGTGGCTCCTTAGAAGAACCCTTTTGCATTTGTCCATGATCATATGTTATTCTGCTGTGTCTTTTCCCGCTTTTTCCTCTAAGAACTGACTGCACATCAGAATCACCTGGGAGATTTAAAAAAATACGTTGATGCCTACGTTCTTATCCCTACAAGTTTAATTTCCTCAACTGCCCCTTTTATTATCATGTGTTTGGACTTCTGCAGTAGCTGCCTCATTTTTAATCTCTTCTCAAACTAATCTGTTTTACATATTCCCACCAGGTTAATCTTTCTAAAACACATCTTGATGAATTTAGAAGATTAAAGATTAAAGATGACTTTCTGCCTACCTCATACTATGTACAAAAATTTACCTAAAATGGATCAAAAACCTAAATGTAAGAGCTAAAACTATAAAATTCATTGGAGAGAATATAGGCTTAAATTTTGTATTGCTTTAGACTAGGCAATAGTTTGAGATACGATGCCCAAACCACAAGCAATAAAATAAAAAAAATAAACTAGACATTATTAAATTAAATTTATTTTGCCTCAAGGGATAGCATCTCCCACAGACTGGGAGAAAAGTTTTTCAAATAGTCATCTGATAAGAGACTTGTATCTAGAATATAAGAGAACTATTACAACGTAATAATAAAAAGACAAATAACCCAATGTAAAAATGGGCAAAGGGCAATGGGCTCGGTGGCTCATGCCTGTAATCCCAGCACTTTGGAAGGCTGGAGGATTGCTTGAGGACAGAAGTTTGAGAGCAGTCTGGGCAACATAGTGCCCCCCGCAACCCACCATCTCTATAAAAATTTTGTAAAATTAGCGAGCGTGGTGGCACACACCTGTAGTTCCAGCTACTCAAGAAGCTGAGGTGAGAGGATCACTTGAGCTCAGGAGTTTGAGGCTGTGATGATGCCACTGCACTTTAGCCTAGGTTACAAAGTGAAACCTATCTCTAAAAAAAAAAAAAAAAAAAAGGAAGTATGAACCTTGAACACATTA